ATACTGCACTGATGGTAAAAGCAGTGATCTCAGCCAGAAGAAATTATCAAATAACTCATTGAAAGTTAAGCATTTACTGGAATATCATTTGACATTTTTACTTGACAGACAAATTTATCTAGAGCATTAGATAAATGCTCTTTGATATTCTTTAAATGTTCTTTGGCACCTAGACTATCATGTTATTCCGGCGTTGTACATTTTGCAGAAACATTGCATGGTGGTGCAGAAGGCGGGTAGACATAGGTCCAAATAAACAGAGGCTCATTTTCAATAAAATCAGGGGTGTACTGAAAGCAGGGCTTGTCTGCATCCCTTAGCACCACTCCTGTATTTCAGATGAAATTTGTTTTACGTTTGTGGTAGCATGTGCGAGTGAAGACCTCTGTTTGAAGCAACGAGCCCTGCCTTTCTTTTGTCTCTCTAATGCCCTCCATCTTTTCCACAAGAGAGACTTCCAGGGGCCCGTAGAAAGTGCTGATTTACAGTACGGCCTTAACAAGCTCTGCACACGGCAGCACCTTGGCAACCGCGGGGCCTCCTACAGGCTGGTGATATATCTCGTCCTTCCCTTTGTTTAAACCTTGAAAGCCTGCTGCTTTGCCTCTGGAGCCAGTAATGTATTATTGGCGACAACACTGCTGACAGGGCATAACAACAGACTCTAAAAGAGAAAAAACAAAGTATATAAAAAATATGGATCGTCAATATTTGTTTCACTTGACACTGAGCACATCTAGTCTGTCTAGCCACCTCTCATTATCCTTTAAACTCATTCCGCTGATAAATGGCCACCTTCAAACAGCTTTTGTTGGAAAATTTGTTCATCAAACCTAGCCTTCTTCAGTGATTATTCTTTAAAATAAATGTCGTCAGCTCCACCCTAAATGGGCATCAAGTTTAATACGCCTTTGAATTCATATTGAGTAAATGTGAATTAAAGGTCTCTTCCTGACACTTTCCAAATTGCACTCAAAGTGAACATTATTAATCATCAGCTGGTACTTAAATTCCAAGGGTGAAATTGCTTCTTATGTAAAAAGTAATTATGCTGATTTTATATAGTCTAGTGAAGCATAAATCTGTTTGTCCACCTGCAGATCAAGTACCATCATAAATTACTGATACCTCAAAACATTTCTTTAACTCTATTGTAAAATTATGATTCTATGATACATAGCTTTGTATTTATTTTAGCTGCTTCAGTTGTCATGAATTTGACGTCATTAAATGCTTATTTGTGTTATTGTGCCACACCTGTATGGTTTTCAACCACAATTTGAAAACCATACAACCATATGATTGACTTGTCACTTTTTTGCACCTGATAATATTAAAGATATATCAATTTTAAAAAATTAAAAACTCTAATAATTGGAGTAAAATGCTTTTTTTCCTGAAATGTTCGTCAAACACACCTACGAGAGCTGGATAATGAGCCTATGCAGTTTTCTTATTTACTTTTATTTACTGTTTTTATGTTTATATTTAATATGTCAACATAAGTATAAGTATATAAGAGGTTGGTAGTATTTTATAATAAGAATTATAGGGTAATATTTGACTATACGTGAGCCTGGCTTTACACGCTACTCAAAATCCCTAAACATGTATTAAATTGCAGGTTGACTATACTCAGGTTGTAAAAGATGAAAATGTTCAACTGTGAGAAGGACAGCAACATTGAAATTTTGCTACTTTTTTCAATGTAGATTGCTTTTTAAGGCACTACATAAGACAAAGCTTTTTATTAATTATTGAGATACATCAACACCCTGTTGCAAACAGAGGACAAAAGACCTTGATTACAACACTATGAAAACATCAGAAAAGGTACATACAGTAGAGCATCATCACCAAAAAAAAAAGAATGTTTATGTGCACTGTAATGCAATGTCTTTATCCATTTACGTTTTTATCATCAGGATACATGTTCTTAAAAATGTTGGTGTGTGTTAAAATAATGTTATTAGGCACTCTAACTGCCCGTTACACATTTAACACGATAATCAAATACCAGTAATGTTCCTAGAAGACATGCATTTATATAATGTGAAAAATTATTGTGTGTTGTTGTTATTATTAGTCAACAGAAAACTCCTTTCAATCATCAGCAGTCAGCTCTATGATATTGGAGCGAATATTAGAACTTGTACACACATAACAATGAGGGTGACACGATCAGGCAGTGGAACGGCATTGAAGCCCTACAGTGCTGGGGCCCTAGGTTCAGTGCCTGGGATGCTGTCTGCATTGAGTTTCTATGTTCTCCTCATGTTCACATAGGTTTCCCCGGGGTGCTTTGGTTTCCTCCCACAGTCCAAAAACATGCTAATAGATCAATTGGCTTCTGGGAAAACTGGCCCTGGCATGAGTGTGTGTGCATGTGCCCTGCGACAGACTGGTGTGTTTGTAGGGATATGCTCTGGCTCCCACATGACCCTGTACTGGATAAAGTGGATGGAAAGACATACTGTAATAATGAAGAATCGTTACTACAGGCTACGCACAGTATCCTCTTTCCCAGGCAGTAATTACCCAAGTCTGGTGAAAGCTTTGCTTTAGAAAGCTGTGAACAGATACCGTATACAATTCAGAGGATGAAACCTCGTCAGCGGACAGAGATTCCCACAAGGAGATATTCAGGGACTAGCTTTTAATTAATGTTTCTGCCAAGGGAAAAGAAAAGGCAGCAGAGCTCTGAAATTGCAATGATGAAATTACTGCGGGATGATGGATTCATCCCCCAACCCCCTACCCTGCAGGCTCAGAGTAACTGAGATTAAAGCCATGTTATTGCTGTGCAATAACAGCTGCTCTCCCTCTCAAACCAAAGGACAACCTTCTACCACAGGCAGGCAGTGCTTATGAAGGATAGGACCACAAAAATACAATAATAATCTTGTTTCCAGGGCAATCTGATGCATCTTTCTGTCACTGGGAAGTCATTTGGGAACAATTGAAGTGGAGATTATTTTTAACACATCATGTGGAACACCTAATGATTTTAAGAATTTGTCATAGCTAATTTACAAAACATTTCTTGCAACTAACAAAACAGCAATTAAAATTTTTAATAAATTCCCAATTATAACTAAAAATTATATTTTTGTGTGAACTTGAGCACAGAGCTATATATGTAATCACCTAATAGCAATTTCAATTAGCCTTAGAAACACCGCTGTTTTCAGCCCAGGAATCCAATGCTAGCAGTCCTAATATTGACTATGAAACATGCAGTAGCTATGTAACAGAAAAACCTTCAGACCCCTCATCAATTCTGACTGTTGTAAAAATGTATGATCCCTGAAGGTTGTGTTTTGACTGCCAAAATCAAAGCTCCTGGTACCCATCCAAGCATTTCAGTAACATTTTCTGAAACAAGCCTGCTTGACTCCAGTCTGATAAGTGTGTCAGCAGGACATAAGTAACACCTGAAAAGCAGGTCAGCGGAGTTTAACTGTGTTGCTTTAAAAGTGACTATACAGTTAGATATCATCAGGCAACATAATGGTCAGCAAGGCTGCTTTGCAGCACAAAGGCTGTGGGTTCAATTCTGGACCTTGGGTGCTATCTTTATATTCTCTGTGTTTGCATGAGTTTCTTTTGGGTGCATGCAGTTTTCTCGCACATTCCAAGAACGTACTGGTAGGCTAATTGTTTTCTGAGAAAACTGGCCCTGGTGTGAGTGTTTGTGTCTGAGTCTGCACTGTGATGGACCAGTGTGCTACCCAGGGTGTATCCTGCCTTGTGCCCATTGCTTGCTGGGATAGGCTCTGGCTCGCCTGTGACCCTGAATTGTAAGAAGCAGTTAGAAGATGGATAGATTAGGTGTCAGTAATTGTAAGAGATTCAGTACCCGAATAGTGCCCTAGATACATGTTTGCACTGTTGTTTACAAGTTTAAAAACTAGGAACTTTGAAGATAAGCCTGAAAACTTAATGATTTGCTACAGTGCACCTACAACTAATGAGTTGGGTTGTTTTATAATGACATGGATGCTATACAACTATAAGTCTTAGAATTAATATATAAACTTCCTTGAAACTGTAGAGATCCTCAGCCTCAGTGAAATGTGATTATCAAAAGACTCACAATATATGAGTACAATTGGATACACAATATAAGTATTCTGGTCAGTCTTGGAGGTTGTAAAGCACAGCTTTCTACACTATTCTACAAACGGAGACTGCATCATTGGTAACAACAGGAAGTGAACAATTATCTCTGTCTAAGCTATATCAGCGGTCACCAAGCTGGCTCCTGGGCAGCCACTGGCCATCAACTTTTATAGAAAGCTTTTAAGTCATCAATTTCTAAAGACCAGGGACATTTTTACTGTAATCAGTTAAACAGGTGTACATCAATTAAGTCATTTACAGATTATCCAGGACATAAACCAGTGTTCCCTTCATTAAAGCATCACTTGCTTCATTAATCAACTGTTTAAACAAGCGATACTAAAATTGAGGTGATTTACGGTAACATAAAGGATTATTGGATTGGGGCTCTCCAGGACTATCGCTGGAGACCCCTAAGCCAACAAACAAATGTACCTTGCTGGTCTGAGAAAATGTGCTGGCTGGATCCTGCCAGTATTTAATTAACAAATGCTTGTCCAATTATGGAAGATGACTGAAGCCAGCAGTTGGGCACTATCCACGGGGTTTTTACAGCTTGACATTTTGAAATGCAAATGCCTAATCAGATGTGGTTCGTTTGATTGAGCCAGGCCATAAAAAACAAATCATGGTTGAAGACGGAAATAAAAATCAAACCTAAAATAAACCCCTTCTTTAATAATACTCTGGAAAAGCTGGCACATTGTTCACTGTCGAAAAGACAATCAGCAAGACTTTACGATATGCTAATGTATATGATAGAATTTAGACCGAGGCAATACGAATCTTTCATGTATGTTACCAAGGCACATACACATTCTAAAATCCTTGCAAAATTTAGGCATGTAATTCGAACTGATCCTTCTTTTGTTTCTTAGATTGATGTACTGAAGGCTGACATGGAAAGTGCAGAGTGGAAGATTCTGGAGAACCTTATACTGGAGAGAGTGATTGATGAGGTTGGGCAGCTGGTGTTCGAGGTGCATCTGCACTGGCCGGGTTTCGAGGTCAGCGGGGATGACAGCACAGTGGTGCGCTACTGGTACAGCCTGCTGAAGGAGCTGGAGCAGAGCCACTTCCGCCTCTTCTACAGTCACACAGACCGAAGCAGGCCCCGCCTCTTCCTGCACCGGAACCTTTTCAACGCCAGCAGCACCTACACTCTCGGCTGGGTCAACACCAGGTGGACGCGGCCGTGAGCTGCAAAGACCTGCATCGTTTCAAGTGTCAGCCAGGTCTGGACAGAAACGGGACAGGTCTTGAGTCATGTCAAAGAAACAACCTGTCAAGGAATCATCCAAAAAAGCTAATGATGGAAGTAATTAACCTGCTGCCTTTCCCCGACTCTTGCTTTGAGGCCAGTGATTATTATGGGCAAAGGCTGAAAAGTTGGCTATTAGAGCAACATGTACAAGGCCAACAAGAACAAGTTTTTCTCTTGAACAAATTCAAAGCATGTTGGAAACCTTTATCACCATCTTGACTTTATCTCCAACTCTTCCTGTGGCATTATGAAACTCAGCGTTTTAAAAAAAAAACAATATAGTCGTGTCTCTCTTCTCACTTTGAGCCTTCATGTTATAGGTTCTCAAGACCAGTTCACGATCGTGCTTTTAAGCACTTTGGTTTGGCAAGAAGTCAGTGTCTCAATAGAGCGATTCTCTCAAAAGAAATTCTCTTAGCATAATCCGATGAAGGCAAGGACATTTGTTTGAACATGCTTCATCTACCAAGCTTGTGAAGCAAATCCAGAAGACTGCATGGAACATTACCCCTTGTAAAGGGGAAGAATCTGAAAAATATTAACGGCACTGATTCATCTTTTCCTGTGAAGTCCAGGCCCTTACAGCAGGCTGAATCTGTTCTCTCTTTAAGGAAGGCAAAATGGTGCTGTAACAAAAGCAACAGCTAAGCAAAAAGTAAATATTGGCTTCCCGAAGGCACAGTAATAGCATTCCTATCTTTTTCCAACTCAAGGACCCTGATGCTGTGTTTAAATAGCATGGCTTTGTAACTACTATGTAGTTAAGAATTCCTCTTCAATTGTCCAGAAACTGTGCAGGAATTCTAGATAATCACACAACCTATACACAATCTTACCAGCTTGTGTTTTCTACTCTTTTTACATCAGGACTGATGTTGCTGTATTCAAAACCTTCCCATATTTTTGATTCTGTATCAGAAACTCCTATTTTTTTTTTCTAAGGGAAAGCTACTGTCTTTGTCATTCTGATTTTTTTCTAAGCAGCTTGCACATTCAGTAAGAATAATTAAAGCCAAACAGATTCCTTTTGGCGGCTGAACTCAGTGCAGCAGAACAGCCGGTTTCCACAACACACCAAAAAGACTGTAATAAGTAACTGTCTTCCTCAGGCAGAGAAAACTCTCTCTCCCTTGTATAATAAAATATCAAGTGGGCTGCTGCAAAGGATTCTTTCAGTCCCCTGCCCCCTCTCTCCTTTGTTGCCAGTTTTGAAATATTGAGAAGCACAGAGTTCTTTTGTTCCTCAGATGACTGTGGTTCAAATCCTTCTGGAGACCTCAGATTTAATTAACATTTCTGAAAAATAAAATCTTTTGACGCAGTATAAGCAAAAAGAAAAGTGAGGGTAAGTCCAAACACTACCCTTCGCTTAACAGAAAGCGAGCAGTTCTGCATAAAAGCCTTTGGCGTGCCGCTTATGTGCAGTACAGTCATTTTTAACCCAAGTATTGTGTCTAAAAAAATCATATGCAGGTGTTAATAGTCAAAAAGACAACAAGAGTTCAGTACATAAAAGTCAAACTATACAGTGCGCCAATTAAATGACCCTGACTGAAGACCAGTTAGGGCTTGTTCTGTATCTTTTTTTATCTATAACTTAAATATAAATACAACACACTTTTAAATGATTAATAAAAAGAAGAATAGCATTAAAAAATTTATTTTCCTATTTCTGCTGTGGGAAGCACCCCCCCCCCAACCCCTGGGCATTCCTGCCTGACAGCTGTAATGCTGACAGAACTGCACATCCTGCCCTCCCTGTATCCAATCCACGAACATGCCTCACTTCAAGAGCTCATCTGCTGGAAGTAAGATTCTCCAGTTTCAATACTGCAAGTTGAAGCCCTAGTCTCTAATAAAGTGTCATTCATTTGCTAATCTGGTGTCCATCATTCCCACTAGAACCCTTTGTCCATCCACGTGTTCTGTGCTCACAGGTTCTGTCCTGGTACAACACAACTTTATTCTTTCGAGAGGCTCTTGACAATCTATGTTACTAAAAACATATGACAGTACCATCAAGTAGGAAAACAGGATAATCACGTATATATATGTCACCACCTTCTGTTGATGTGAAATTGGGAAGGAACTAAAATAGACAAGTTCACCTTAACATATCAGTTAAGGGTGCTTTCTATGCAACAGCAAGCATAAATAGTGCACACCATCTGGGCCAGTGCTGCACAAGCTCCCCATTAGGCATGCCGATGAATAAAACAGCCACACTCCAAACTTTAAAATAGCTACAAACAAAGCCTAAATTTCAGTGTTTTACAATTCTGAAGAGACCCAGTTACAATAATTGGCTATAAGTTATCTGTTAATTCGGTGGTTAGGGCTCTGGAGAGTTCATGATCCCAGGCCAAATCCAGCTATAAAAGTGGGTACCGAGCTGCATATGCAAGAAAAAAAATGTAGACTGTAAGCCCTTTAAGTCACTTTGGATAACTATGTTGTCATAATTTTTTCTTTATAAAATCCCTTTAATGGTCAGGCATGGACAAGCAGCTGACAAGTAATGACTAACAAATGAGTATAATATTTTTGTTAATCAAAGACAGTATTGCACTGACATTTAGGTACCTATGTCTTTTATATTTGAAATCAAAAGTGTAAATTATGCTCTGTTTTAAAGAGACAAAGCTGCTCAACAAAACAGCTTCATATTTCCTTTGCTTCAATGTGGAACTAGTTAAAACAAAAGAACTGTTATACAGTCTTCTAATTTCCAGAATATTTCTGAAGAGACTGAGTAGAAACATATGAAACTTTATTGAGACAAAAAATAGCACAGATAGGAGTTGACAGTGGATTTTTCACAACTTTAAAATTGCAACAAACCCAGTATAATCTGCGATAAAGAGTGGTTAACTGTCTTATGACCAAATCATTTTCTACCACTTTAATTAAAAAAGTAAAAATACAGACAAGCACAACAGCCTGACATATTCTCTTTTCTCAGTGTCACTGCTGTCTGTAAATGACAATAATACTTATGGAAAAAAAGACTTTCACAGAAGGACTGGATGCCAGCCCTACAAATCTTGATGGATTTTTTTGGTGGTCACCTTTTTCACCAAGGAAAACATTAATGGCAGTCAACGGAAGGCATTGATCAGATCCCGTATTTGCGATGTTTCCAAGTATCCACTTCAGTCCCAGAGCTTAATCTGCCCATCCCAGCCACATGTGATAACTTTAGAAGTTTCATGTGGGTGCCAGAGTGCGCTGATGCACACTTTATCGTGGGCTTTGATACGATGATACAGCTTTGTTGTTTTCCAGTCCCAAATGTTCAGCTTCCCATCAGCATCTCCTGAAACCACGTAGCTGTAGAGAAAGTGGACAATCTTAACAACCAAGAGGGAGCTGTAAATACAAAAACGTTCACGCATCTTATGCCTTAAAGGGGTTTAGAGTGGTCTCTGTAATGTGAAAGGAGTAGGTTTATTTATTGTTAAAATTACAACTTCCAATTAGCATGATAAATGAAGTCTGGAAGTTTTGCTGTAAGTCTGCAAAACAGATATTGGTTTATAAACCAAAGAGACACTTGGATGAGCAGGCAGTTCATGTGGATTGCAAGCAAGCTGTGAACACCAGTGATGACAAATGCATATTAACAAACAATTTAATTTTTTACACTGCTGAATTTGTAGAAAATATAGCATTTCATAAAAGCTGTGACATTTTCAAATCAAATTAATAGAGCTTATAGCACACTCTTCAAAACAGGGACTGACAGTACACTTTGACATAAAGCACTTCATGGTAACCGTAATGGTCACAGCAATGCTTTTGCAGAAGTACATTTAAATATATTAATCATAATGGTGTTGGGGATTCTGGCACTTAACTGTGTTCATGTTGAAAACTAGAATAAGGATGTTGTGTCCAAAGTGTATTTAAGTGAATTTCTTCAGGTGCCACTAATGTGCAAATGATGATCTTCAACTTAAATCAAATGCGTTTCCTGTCACCCGCGGGTACCTTTAAAACTGTAATTCTTAGGAACAACATAAAAAAGGGCTATTTTTTACATTTAAAATGCCAAGAAAAGCTGTGGAGTTAAATTATAACCTTGAATTAATTCAGTATTCTTTGGTATACTGTAAGGGCTGACAGCAGAAACACTGAACCTTTTACCTCATATCTGGTGAAAAATCCACTTGACAGGCATAGCCAGCAACCATGTGGCCCTTAAAGATTTTCTTCTTGTTCAGTCTAAATCTGTTCTGTGCTCCAAAGATGAGAATCTGGTTGTCCATTGACTGGCAAGCAAGCCACTTACCTAGAGGCAACACAGTGAAACCATATTTACCATCATAGCAGTACAGATACTATGCATTTTCTCTAGTATTATACTTAATTTTTACAGACATTATTAATACACTTTGCCTAAGATAAGACAGATCTTTTTGATTTCTCAAAAAAATCCTTTGTTGCACTAAACGTCCATCTATTTTACACTGACTAAATCAATGAGTTTTGTATGATAGGGGGAAGAGAGCATCCCAGCATTCTGTTTTTTGCCTGTTCCCAAAATCACTTAAATATCTGGATATCTACATTTAGAATTAGTTAAAATATTTATAGGGGTTTTAGGATGTATAACATTCAGTTCTGTGTAAATCAATAGAACAAAACATATTTCACAGGTATAACAAAAACTTAAAAGGTTTCAAGAACATTTGCTACTAGGTTCAGTCTGTGCACAATAAGAAAATTATAAACCATTTAAGGATTTTAAAAAGCACACAATATTAATCATTCTGCATGTGACAAAGGCAAACTATTACTAAGCTGCCACACACAACTTTACTGGACATGAGACTCACCATTTGGTGACAAAGTTACAGCGGGCATTGAATGCATGCTTGGCTCTGCAATATACTTGAAGTCAACAGGAATGTCCCTGAAAACAAACACACACACAGGAGAGGTGACTGCAGCGGGCTGGATACTGGGGACTACAGAGCACGAATGGTTTGCTGGTGCTGCTCGCATTCACTCAGAAAATGCTGAGCCTTAATAAAAGAAAGCCCCAGAAGGACGAGACTCTGGCTTCCCACAACAGCAGTCTAACTTGAGAATGGGGATCAAAGCAACTTAAGGAAGGCAAAAGCAAAAACTCCTCGCCCTGCTGATGCTGTTCTCTACAAGGTGCAATCAGGGGGGCGAGCCTTCCAGCACACAGAGAATATACCTTTCTAAGAACAGGACCTTTCACTGTAATGTTAATTGTATTCATTTAGAACAGTCTTCTAATGTATAAATGTCATTTTGTTAGTTCTCAATGTATTTTCTAATTTAAGATTAATTAAAGACTTGAACATCACGTTAGAGAGTATGGTTTGTTTCAAGACCTAGTATATCATGTTAAAGAGGAGGAAAAACATCAAAGTGACTGGAAGATTTGCTGCAATTTTTATTTACAGAAAAATGACTACAGTGCTTTCCTCTCTCCAGGACGGAACCTGATAGGACGTGAAACAGCTGTTTAGGTGAGACTGAGTATGAGGAGTATCAAATGCTTGAATTACAAAGAATTTCTACATTATCTTTCACTGTTATGTACATTAGGCTACATGACCAGGGAAACAATATAACGGTTCTGTGGGTTACATTACAACCAATAAAACCTGAAAATACAGGTAGTTTTGAAAAATTCTTCTTTTGCTAGTTGCCTCGGTTACTTGTTATAAAGTAATGATAAATCAATTCAGACTTGCAGCTGTTGTTCAAGCAGTTAATCACCTCAGTCAGTGACACTCTACCTCTCCCCCAGAAAACATAATCCAAATAATTGAATAATCATTTCCTGCAGCTCTAAAGAAAACAGAAATATGAACAGCCTGCTGGCTGCATATACTGCCTTACTAATTAAGGCAATTCATAACCTGCGAAACAAACAGCACTGTGAAAGCTCAGGATTATGTGATTCAGTCTTTGGATGCCATGACATTGTACAGTAATAACAACATTTAATTTGAAAAAAACATAAAGCAATACAAATCTAGAATGGATGGTTGCTCAGAAATATGTCAATTTTGTTTGATCATTTATCAACTGCAGTACATGCAATCTTGTAATCAACTTTTAAGATTAGGATAAACCAACTAATGTTGACCCATGGTGTTCCATAAGTGTTCCAGGAAAACAGAAAGAACACAATTCACTGCTTAAGCTTAATCCTTAACAGGATTAAGCAATCCTGCTATATTGTTAGAACAGATACCCTAGAATCCTACAGGAAACAGCTCAAATCAACACACAACTTGCAATCAAAGCTGAGGGGACACACCATGTTGGTAAACCTTCCTCACATCCATAACTGTATAAGAAAATATGTAACACAACAACAAAATAGCAACATTACTAACAAATCATACACAATTTAATGTGGCTTTCGAAGTCCTGAAATGTGTACTTCTGGCCCTTTTGTGGTATTCTTCACAAGAAAAACTGCCTTAATTAAGAAGGCATGAGCCACATTGGCATTTACTTTCATGTACTTACAGATCCTTTCAGCACAGTACAAGTACTAATAATAAAACCTGAATTGTGGCAGTTTATTAGAGATAAATTAACAGTGGTAAGGAATCATATATGCACACAACCACTTAGACGAAGCCAGATGCGAGATGTCTGCTTCACTTCCTTGACTCTCAGGAATTTTCCTCTGTGAGGGCATGTGTTCGCAAATACAACAGCTGTTGCTGCATTCTTAAAATAAATTTATTCTGCTATGTTCATTTAGCAAAACTAGCACTGTTTTCTTCTAAACTCTGACATTCTTAATGTGACCTTCTAGGCTGAGGTCAGAGGATGTGCAGCCATTAAGCTACATTGAACAACTCCCTAGTGGCCAAACAGTAAAGACAAAAAACATTTTTCCTTGCATAAAAACTAAAATTGTCTTATTGCTTTAAAAGGGCTGCATGACTTTGGACAGCTTGCTGCGGACTTACTAGTGCACTGTACAATTTTAACAAAACATCCCTTGGTTTAAATTCTAAGCTTTAAACTACATATCCTAAAATTGCTTGCCTTTTTAATGCCTCTACACATTATCCAGAAGACGTAAATGAACAAACATAAAAACTAAAGTTTTTTCTTAAGCAGCGTCTTCAAGAAGAGTGTTTCCAATTTATCTATACACCTCATTTACATTTTTTATACCTGCACTTGTCTACATTAGACACCGACTGCCAGGTGTTTGACTTTTACCCACATCTTTTCAAGCTTTATTAGTTTCTATAGAGTTTCCTCATCCTCCTGTTCTGTTATTACCTCCAGACGTGACTAATTTATTAACTAGTGGCATAACCACATGTATGCAGTATTTCTTGTTTCTAATTTTCAGCGCAGAAGTAACATTTACTTACTACTTATAAAAGTTGCATTTCAGCTTCATGATCTGCTGTTCCAGAACTGTGTCCATTCCTCAACCTGTAATTTCAATGATGTTTTGCAAACACATCAGTACACATCCTGCCAAAAAAGGCACCTGTCACTTTTAGAAAACCTCAAAAATGAAGACATTATAATCTGTATGTGCAACGTGATGGTAAGACCTTCCATATGGAAGTGCTCGTTACATCGAATTAAATTTGTGACACTGAAGACCCGAACTGTACAACGATTTTCCATTTTTTAAGGTCCTCTGGTTCAGTGTGCATAAGCATCAATCTCCCAAAATGTTATTCACACAGATGGATAATGATTTCTAAGGATATCCAAAATAATTTTTAAGAAAACATAACATTAAGAAAATTTAGCTGCGCACAAGAAAGAGAACAGAGTGCATGATTCAGAAGATTAGTAAGGTGTTTAAAAGGAATTTGAAGCTATATGTTCACTTCTATTCTACCTCTTAAATGGCCTGGACTATGTTGCACTATGTTGCCAACTTAAGCAAAAGAAAGCCACTGAGAATTCCATTAATGAAGGCAGCTTTTGAGCTACTGCGCTCACTATATGAGAAGTAGGCCATTAAACCTGAGGAGAGCAGGGTATGTTTCAGATGGAGTTTTAAATGACAGGCAGCACAGGTTTACTGTCTGACTAAAGGTTTCCTTTGAGTAAGCTTCTCCTGCAAACACAGATGCAATTTTCTTTCCTATAACATCCACTGTAACTATAATCCTGAAATACAAACCTATACAAGGGAAGATTAAACAATTCAGGACAGTCATTTAAGCGATAAATAGATAATTATTCCTACAAATGTAAAACAGATGGGTCTCACTATTGCTTGCCAGGATGAACTCCAGCTCCCTCATGATCCTTAATTGGAAGAAGTGGTTAGAGAATGGGTGATGGATGGATAGGTCTCATTGTTTCACTTAGATGCTTTTAAAAACAACTAGTCTATAATGTCAAACTAGGAACACGCAGAATGAACTTTTCTTGATGATATACTTTGTTTTCACAAAAGATTTCACATTTTTCTCTTCTTTTACACAGCAAGAAGATATACATTTTATAGTAAACGGTAAGAAGAGAGTCATTTAAATAATCTGTAAGCAGATTGTAAATCTGTAAAAATTGCTTTAGAATATAGTCATTTTAAAAACAAAAACTGCTTGGTGTGTTCATGTCAGGAATAGTAAAGCAGCTTTCATTGGACTATTCTAAATTCATATTGTATAAACCTTGGCTAACAACATCTAGCAGACCAACTTTCGGAGTTGTAATAAATTAGGTCACCAATATCCCGTGCAACTTCTTTTTGTTTTTACCAGCATTAGCTACATACATTTTTAAAATTAAACCTTACAGTCAATCAAATATATGTCTTGTACTGTATTGTATTTCTATCCCAAATCATTGTGTGCTGTCATACTTACAGAAAACACCCTTTGCAAAAAAAAAAGACTGGTCAGATCTCACCAATGTAACAAACATTAAAACTTACATACTAGTCATCCAAACATACTGCTTCTGTTTGTAGTAAAACAATCCCTTTCTACTAAGTACAAATAGAAGAACCCTAACAGAGCAATAGGTATACTAGTGAAAATGCATTTTAAACCACTCCAAGTATGATCATGCTATTGGCATTTGAATAACTGAGTTCCTCCAAGTAATCTGAATTTGTTTAGGTACAGACTGTCTCAGCAGAGCCAACAAAAAAGGCAATGAAATACAGCTTAACTGGAATATTCAAATGCTGCATTCAAACACAGTATTCAGCACAGAAATATACAGGCATATATTTATATTTTAACAGTATAGGTGACAGGCACTCCTTTAATCATGAGATGGATATTCAGGGAACCTCTTTCAATCATTTGAATTGTACTTTAATCATGGGAAGCTCACAGTGAACACTCTTCATCCACATTTCCATCTCACTAAAAGCCAGTGGGTAAACAGTATTTGAGATATTTTCTGGTCTGGGGCACCGCCAAAGCCTTAATGCTTTCCACAATTTCCATTTCACCTTTCAGTGTTCAAACCAAATGTCTAAATGAGTTTGACCACAACTGGCAAAAATGGAAGAGTGCAAAACAGGACATGACTTCAAGAGCTGGCTGCTGCCCTAAATAAGGTCTGCCTTGTCAACTGGGCCGGATCAAAACTTCCGACCAGTCCTCAGTTCTCAATCATTTCTCTATGAAAGCCCTGAATCCTCAGTCTCAAACGCACATTTCTTTCATTCTCAGTAGTTATCAGTATGGAATTGCTCCATCTGTCATCTGTCAGTTTCTCCACAGCTGTTTTGGTTTAGAGAAGAACCGGATCACAGAAGACCAATAAACAATTCAACTGCCACCTCATCTATAGATAGAAACAACAGAATAGGTAAAAGGAAAAAAAGTAAAAGGAAAAAAAAATGCATGAATCAACTTGGTATTTTTTATTGCCTGGCAACTATATTAAACATATTTTTGTTATTTGTTTGAATAAACTATATAATCAAAATGGAAAACACCAAGCCTAAAGAGGATACTTATGAAAAAGACATATGGTTTATTGTTGAAATATAGTGCATTGTATATCTCCTAGACAATGTAGGAAAGGAACAGAAAAAGCAAAAAAAAAATGTTAAGACATATAAAATGTGTAGAAGGTAAATCAAGGAATTATATAGTATGTTACAATTTTACAATGTACTAGTAATACCTCGTATACAATACTGTATACAAGTTTGACCTCCACGTTATAAAAAAGATAGTTTCTTTTCTAATCAGTCCAGATAAAAGTGACTGAATGTGAATAAGGGAAACAATTAATACCGACAGGCTGAAGAAACCTATAGTGACTATGACAGTACCTAAGTATCCAAAAGTATTCAAAATTCTCAAAGGCACTGACAAAGCTAACCCAATGGACTTGTTCAGGATCAACAACGCAACATGAAGAGAACACAAGTGGAGACTATGGTCTAAGTGCCTTTAAAACTGAGAACAATGGCACTTTTTTAACACAAAAGATTGAGAAGGTCTTGAACAAGCTATCTAGCCATATTGCAAAAGCTGATACTGTGTCTTCTTTCAAGAAACTGCTGGATAAGATCTTTGGATCAATTAGCTACTCGCAAACAAAAAGCTTATTGTATGAAATGGCATCCTCTCATTGGTAACCTTCCTAGTGTTGAATAACACAGTTTTCAGTTCTGTCCTTCACTTGAACCCACTGATAAAAATATTTATGCAATTTAGGTCTGTCTCTTTAGCTATACAGTTTCACTATAACCTACAAAAAAATAACTATTTTAACTGATACGGAAGGCTCCTTTTCCAAAGTAACATTTTTTTAATGAGGACAGAGTGACTGAGCTAAAATATCTTCAGTTGACAATACATTACACTGATTAATCTGCCTAGAAACCTTCTACTAATAAAGAGTCTCTTTGGGTTTATGCTCTAAGGCACATTTTGTTAGCCCGAAAGCTAATTTGACTATTTTAATGAAAAATGACAAAAATGTCTTTAAAATAGGTTTTATTATTATGTAGGCTGATTAAAATACATTTTGCATGCACATTAATCTGTAATGTTGGTAGAAAACTGCTGGGAGAATAGAAAGCAGGGGAGAATTTCAGATAATATGGTTTAGGATTAAACCAACTGTGAAATATTAATAATAGATCTCTTATCTAGATTAAACTTCCAACTTTAATGTTCTTATAACAAAGCCTAACTATTGAAGACTGGATAGTAGAGGTACACTTCTAATAATTCAAGTCTGACTAATAAAAAGGTCCAGCCAGATAAAATATGAAAGCCTTGTCTCGCTTGTCTAGGCAGATACAGCTAAGCCAACAGCACTGCAAACTTCACCAGTTGACTACTTGTCAGCCCCATAGGGACACACCTCAGTGCCAACCCTAGACAAGACCATCTGCAACACTGCCTTCAGAACGCCAAGTCATTAACGAACTATGATCAGCAATTCTTGGAGCTGAATGCCAGTCTCTCTGGAAATGGCTAACCTGAAGGCTGCTTTGTCCATGTTGCACTGAAAGTGAGCCTTGGTTATTATTAAATATGACTCATCCAAAGAAGAAAAAATCACAGCACGTGTCCACCAAACCACCCAAGATGCCTCCTGAACCCTTTCATCGACAATTTTTTTATATTTACATTCCGCTTATGGAACATGTTTTTGTTTGGTAAACAATTAAATCACATTCACACAAAGTGACCTGAGGAATTAACCAGAAAAGAGTTTACATGGTGACCTGATCTTTAAATATTTATTCTAGATAGCTAGAAAAATGGCAAAAATAAACAAGCTAAAGTCTTATAATGAGCCAAGAAAGGCTAACCAGTTTCTAAGATAACAGGAGAGTTATTTATTGATATATTTGCAGAGATCCAGTAGCCAAACTCTTCCTTCTGATTTATCCATAAATACTTTATATCCAACATATCAAATGCAAAGTCTGTATAGCTCAGTCTGTGTTTTCCCTGACATTTCCCTGAAGATGAATAAATGAATAAGACCAATTTTCCTACATTGACCTTTCTTTCACACAAAGGAGGGCATGGCTTTCTATTGTTGAGAGGGTCTTTGTGAACTTTTTACATACTTTTTCTGCTGACGCTGAAGTATTTTATAAGGTGGACATGCAGAACTGCAGAGAAAGAATGTTGGACACAAAGGCTACTATATAATTCTATACTGTGTTATATAAGAAAGCAAGCTATGAAATTAATACCAATTGTATCAAAATAAGTTATCTTTGCTAAATAGGGAACAGGAAGATGAGCTGATCCTGGAATGCTGCCAATCTGATGCATGATAGGAAAAATGTTAAAGGACTTGTAGTTTAATCACTGAGAAAAATACACCAAGCATCTCCGTCTATTTCACTCCCATGCACATGAAATAAATACTTATTTTAACTTCTGAGGTAGACTCCTGATTGTCTTTTATGGGGAAGTGGAATAATTGCTTCAACAGTATGGAGCTGACACAAAACTACACAAGCATGCAACACTTGTTTCATTTAATGTTTCAACCCCAAAATATCAGGGTATGTGGTCTTGTGACGGTTGACTGAACATCACAGATGACATTTCTAAGTCCTTCACGTGTGATTTTAACTTGTTTCTACATTAACTATTCGATTTAATTTGAGAGAGGTATTATTGAGGGCTTTATTTACTTTTTAAGGGCTCAACTGATAATCAGCTGTGGCTGCGCTATAATAACCTACAGCTCTAAGGAAGGGTAACGACAAGACATCAGGAGCTGCATTTACATTTATATTAACTAAGTCACAGCTACAAAAAAACAAGGTCATTTCAAACCTCTCTTCCAGCTTCAAGACAGATCCATTACAAGAGTTTACACAACTCTGTGGCTGTAGGGCCTGTAGTTCAGGCAGAACAAGTTCAACCTCTAGCCCAGCACTGTCTGGACAACAAACATTTCTAGTCTGCCATGATTTTATGTTTGCTGATGAATTGTATGTTGTGTATTTTAATCAACTGTAATGCGGGAAGACAAATTTCCACTTTAGTGCAAATAAAGTTAATCTAAAGTAATTTTAGCTTCGCAGAATTTTAGTCCTGCAGAATTTTAGTCCACTTATTGTGCGTGGGACCATGCTTCCTTTGGTGTGAGAAAGTTTATTTTCAGCCACCGTAATTGGTTGCCTGTGTATTGTGCTGTAACTCAGCTTTAATTTACCCCTACATAGGTCTTCTGAAAGAGTAGTGGAAGTGTTGATAATGCTGCTACATGTAAGCACGCAACAATATCAATACAGCAGTAGGTGGAATTGTTGCAGAAACTGGGCACAGTGGGATGTGCCTTGTGTGAGTTTTACAATGTAGGGTATGGAGTATAATTTGAAGAAGCAAAGTAATTGTAGCCGTAAGTGAAGAGTTTTTGCCAAAAGCGAAATCCAAAGATGTTAAATGAGAGGTATTCTTATAAAACAATTAGACCAAGCTGTGCCACACATGAGCATTTCAAACGAGATGACGACACACGTTCAATGTACAAAGGTGAGAACAAAAACAAAGCAACTTTAGATGAAAAGCTTTATTTTTGAAGACGTTTATAACTTACCATTCCCAGACTCGAAGACTTTTGTCATCAGAAGTACTGACAAAGCGCCTGTTCTCATCCACAAAAGTGATCGTGTTGACAGCTCCGAGATGCCTATCGTACTCCTGAACAACTTCCCCTGACCGGATGTCCCACTGTAAAATAAACAAGCAGCCATGAGGAAGAAATGTGGAGATTGTAGTCTGGTGCAGAAAGATCGTGATTAAACCACAGCACTCCACAATCTTAAACACAGGGCCTTGAAAACAGAACAGGAAATGCAACCTAACACAAATTCAAGTGTAAACTGTCCACTATCACTCAGCTTGGTGATTTTATCAATGCTTTCATACTATTTACTTGTGCTTGAACACTGATCCATGCCTGTCAAACACATTAAAAACATACAGAAAGATAGAACTTTACCACCATCAGTTATTATTTTTTAAATTCCAAAACTGTTGCTTAAGTGCGGAATTATTTTTCTTAAATTCACGTCAAACGGCACCATGGCGAAAGAATACTCTGTCCTAAGATTTCAGATAAAAATAACTAAAAATGACTTTGCCAGCCTGTTTTTGATTATTCAGTTTAATAATGACTGTTACTTTAACAGACACCCTTTTCATTTAGAAATAAAGATCAGTATCAAACTACATAAACTTTAGACACCTTTCTAGAACTGATCTGATTTGTATATGTTATTGTCTATTAGTAGTAGTTCAATCTTTGCAAATGCAACCCACTGACAGATAAAACAACTACAATAAAGGCTGATTTCTAAATAATGTGAAGTATAACACTCCTATTGAGACTGCCTTTTGGATTTGCTAGCATTACATTATAATTATCATATGCATTTCTTTTAAATGCACTCTATAGGGACATATTACATCTGTTCAAAAGCCGGAAATCTCAACAGATATTCCCCACAAGGATTATCACAGATTGGCAAAGCTACTTTTATCTGCAGCCGAATATGAACTACATATTTGTAGTAAAGTATTAAATACATATTTATTTATGTACGGAACATAATTTTTGTTATCTAACCCAAAGACATATTATTGTTGGTAGCTAGAACAGCAGGTTGTATAAAACAGAAGATTAAATTAATCTTTCTTCTGTTTGGAAAAGGACCTTGTGCAAATGGCCCTCAGTTTTAATGAACTCACACATAATACTGTCCTACTATGGTACAAGACAACATATACTGTATGAGCCTACATTAACCAAAACTGTTTGAAAATAAATCAAACCCACAGAGCTTACCTGAACTATTTTCTTATCTGACATTCCAGCCACAAAGAGGCTTTGTTTGTCTTCATCAGGATTGAACTTGACACAGTACGGGACCTTCCTGTTTGTGAATCTTGAAATGCACTGTCCTGAAAAAGAGGTGACAGATACATAAAGCTCTAATCTAAAAAACATTCTTCTTGGTGCACAATAAAAAAAAAAAATCCTGAAAGCTAGTTTCTAAGCTTTTGATATTTCTGACATTTTTGAAAAAACAAATGTTTTATTTTTCCTACCATTGCACAAACGTTTGTCTTGTTTGGCTGAGAAGATTCAATAGTGAAAATACTTATTTTGTACGCTGAGATAGGAGCTCAGGGACCAGTGACCCAAAATATCCTTTTGGTGTCATTCTTAAAATTTAAGCTCAAAATGACCTTTTCTGTTTTCTCAAGTCTTCAAAGACATGGTGTATTCCTAGGAAAACCTTCCATGATGAAACAATTAAGAAAATGAAAAAACTTAAGTCAATAACTTTTTGCAAGAGATGGATTTCCCTCTAGTTACATCTGGAAAAGGACATTTACTTGCTTATAGTGAGTCTAATGAAAAACACAGACAAATATGGAAGACAAATGCGGTCCTAACACTGCCTTGTTCAACACCAGTTAGTAAATGTCTTTTCTTAAGCAACTTGAAATCAACATCTGCTACGGCAATCTCTAAAATATTCACAAACTGTCTTCCTGCTTTCTGAAAAGAAAATAACAGAAAATCACCTTTTGCTGAGCACATTTACACTAAGACATTTGCGTTGGTTGCCAGAGGTTAACCATCCAGATGAAGAAATGACTGTGGGAGCTGAGTCAGTGTGAGTCAGTGTGCGAGTTGCTTTGCCCTCTCCCTCATTCCCTCACTCCAGAAGAAGGCTTCATAATTAAAATGCTTTCCATTCTTGACTTTTCAATGTGAAATTGACCTCTAAGCATGTTCATAAGTTAAAAAAAATATAGAATTCTAGCCGATTACAATACTGGAGCCTAAAGAGAAATTTAAGCTGCAAATTTAAGGCAGAGACTGTACAACATTTGGCAAAAGTAGCACCATAAAAATAGCTTACTATCATTTGAAACATATTAGTTGAACAAAAACACAACATTTTGTTGTTCCAAGTTTTAAACCTCTACTATGTTCGGGTTCACAGAATAAGTTTTAGTATTTGTCAAATTGTCAAAATCCAATATGGCAGCTATAATTTGTGATCTCCCTGGATACTTTTACACTCCTGCTAAATTTCAAGAATTTATGTCCAGGGGGTTGCGTAAGTACTAAAAAATAACAGAGAGGAAAATAACCCAAAAACAGAGTTCTAGCGTGTTTGTTGCTTTGAGCCCTGAAAAGCATATAGTCATGCCACGTAGATAACTAAAGCAAATGCTTGTTGTTAATTCAAGATGTAATCTGCTTTTAGAAGAAGACAACAAAACATACCTTTTGTTGTGCTAAAAGCTGCTTTTTGAATAATGAAACTGAAATCTTGTCCATATTAAATCTTGGCAGTTTGGAACTGAAATGTTCCTTTGTTAAACAGTATCTTTAGCATAATAGCTAAAAGTGAAAAGGGTCTCCTAGTAATGAGGGAATTATCTATGAACTGTGGTTGGCAATTAAAAGCAGAAATTGTTATAACTAATACTAGAAAAAAAGACATTTTCTGATTTACTTTTGTAAAGACTTGCGCTTGGTTTTTGTCACTGCATTTCTAGAAGCGCTTTGTCAGTCTCTGAGCAAGAATAAAATTAACTTGGACACATGCAATCAAATTCCTGAAAAATTTTTTTTTTTCCTGTGAACAAAAGATCATGTCTCCATGCAGGACATGTCTTTCTATCATAGATTTTTTTCTCTTTTTCCATTCATGATACTGTGGAATCCTGTGGTGTTGGTGCCAGAATTTCTTATTTTCTAGCTTGTTTATTTAATACTTTAATTTCCAAAGCAAAATAAATTGTAAATAATTTACTTACTTGTACTGTTCATTGTTATCTATGAACCACAAGGCATCAGATCAATGAAAAATACATTAACAAATAAACAGTTTGTCATGTCTATAGCCTTTCAAACCGTTATTAACTGACATACACAAACACTTTAGCAGGAAAATAGCTATGTGACTTAAATGACAGATAGCTTCTTTTGCTAAATCTCAAGAAAATCCCATAGTTATCCACTTCCAAGGTTCCTCTTTAAAGTGTTGTCTTAATGCAATACAACCATAAATCAGCAAAAGACAGAATAGCTGTCAAGAACAAGAAACAGATTCTCTTCTGCCAGAAAAAAAAGTTAACAGAATATTCTTTTTATATCTCACTGGTTATAAACTTTGGACACTAAGTGCATTCTCTAATTTTAAACATCCAGACTAATCCAGGGCCACCTAAAAAGGTCAATTTAATGTCCTTTAACTTTAGCTACAAAATATACATTTCTTTTTATTTTGCTGAATCTATAGGAAGTAAAACTGTTAAATATGCACGCATGTGACGCTATGTAACGATTAAAACTACTTTAAAGAGAAACCAAGAATTAGTTTGCAATATTTTAACATCCAAATATAATAGGAGGATCAAAGAAGAACCGAGACTGCCACTACACATTGGATATGATCTGCTTTTGATGTAGCAGTAATATAAAAATGAAAAAATGGACAAAGGCATTACTTACTGTACTTCACACATTGTCAGGTTTGCTGAACGACAAAGGCCAAGTTTGATTTCACCCAACATGAACATGTTGTGCACTCACAATTACACTGCCCAAGGAATACAAATAAAACTTGGAAGAGGCAGGATTTTTACCGCTCCAGTTAAACAAGGATCTGAAAATGCCGATTCTTTGCAAAGCTGAACGCAAAGAACTTTGTAATGAAGCAGATAAGGACTACAGGAACAGAAAAGGAGAAAATATATCACGAGCTACTGCCACAGAGTTGGTGCATTCACCCTTAAAAATACAAGTTTCAAAAAGTCTGCAATTAACACAGACTGTCTTGCAGAAAGGTTAAGTTAAAATATTATCCAAAAATGTAAAAAAAAAAATGTCAGTGCCCGGGAATCTGCAAGTGTTGTGTTCACCAAAAACTGAGAGCCCTAATCAACAACTCCCTCCTGACCCTCAGCAATAACCAGTCGGTTGGGTGCTGCCTGCAAATCCTGCACAGACGGCTACTGACATGACCAAAACCTGAAACCAGGTTTTGCCCAGAGACTCCGGTTTTGTTTTCTTTTTCCAACTTTACTTGCACTTAAAATAAGTACAGATGCACAGAAACTGGTTTTTAGGTCACTATTATCTTAAAAACGAAATAAGAAATGAAACCTAACTGAAAAGGTGCATATGTAAAACTTTCACATGCTTTACTCAATTTGAACATCTTCTCGTCGGCCTGGTATCTGTCTGAGGTAAAACAGGTGGAGCAAAACATAACAAGAGTAAATCCCATAGCGCTAATGGTATCCTTTTAGAATTTTGTCCGCGTTTCTTGTCACAGTTATGTCCGGCTTTGACAAATTATTTAGTTAGTAGATTTCACATACAGTACTCAAGATTAGTTTGACATGAGATGTGTTAATACTCTTATATCCATAGCATTGAAATAATTTTTTTTTAAAACACCAATCAGTTCACCATGCTCACACAGGCTTTACTAAATGGAAGATGTCCACTAACAACATTCGCTGACTGTTCTAGATTACAGTCAACTTCAGACCTGGTCCCCCCCCAGTGACATTGCTATAGTTGTCTAGGAATCTCTTATAGCTACATATCTGAATAAAATTAGAAATTGAAAATATTGTTTTATCCAATTAAACATACACAAGATATACAGTTTTATACCATAGAGCACATTATTTATCTTGTTTGTCTTTTGTTTTATAACTATTCTGATGTCTGTTTTGCTTGTCTTGGGCTGGACTGCTGTAACACATCAATTTCCCTACGGGATTAATAAAGTATTATCTATCTATATCTATCTATACACAGTTTTATATCATGACAAACACACTGCATTTTCTGTGTTTATTTAAACGATACCTTTTGTTAATTGCAACCAACTTTATTAGGTCTTAATTTAATACGACTTATTCATTGCCCTCTGGGTGTAAGGGATTATTAATTGCAATTATTCCAAATATTCTAGTCATCACAATTTACATGCATTTCCATTCCACCAAAAAATAGTACAGGGTTCAGAATGTCATGTTAAGCAACTGGATTAAACAAATGCACATACACCTTAAAGCATTAGCAGCCTGTGAATGTGAATTAAAAGGACTCGGAACTCAGTGATCAGCATCACCTGTAAACTGACTACGAGACTGGTGGGGCAACAATGGGAAAATAAAAAAGCAACAAAGGCCAAGTTAACTGTATGTCACATGACAAAAATAAACATTGAACCACAGGGGAAAAATGGGCACAAGCAAGGAACAAGCCGATATGGCTGATTTTATGTGAACATGACACGTGGTTGTGCTAATATTATTACTGCAGTAGGGCTCAGTATTTGTAGTGTTAAAGACCTTACACCATTGGGCTCAAAGATTACTGCAGTACATCATGAATAAGATTATTTAGGCAACATATTAAATTACTCACTTTTATCACACATCAAACCAAACTACTGCCATCCTGAAAAAAATCTCAGAATTGCTTTTTCAGCTGTCGGTGACACTAAGCTTTTTACACTTGGACACATCCAAGATGATCTTTTTGTGCTTTGACTCAACAGTCTGAGCAGTACATCTTCAGTACAATTTCCAACACTGAGGTAGTGGAAGATACCAGTACTGTATCGGACAAAGAAAAATGACCTATTGGACCCTGGGGCAATGGGCTTTAGAGGTCTTATGCCTCACTTTAACAAAATGAAAACAGCTCCAACCCCGGCTTTTAAGGAAAGCTTGTCAGGAGACATTGGCAAAATAACCAAAAAGAAAAGCAGTTAAATAGTGTGCTGTCAATATATGTCAGTCTCTTTAACTACTAAAAACAAATCTTCAAACAGCAGTAATCTCAGTCACAGCTTATAAAGAAAAAACATCAAACAAAACTTGCCTATGATATTAATTACAGGAAAGCCCGAAAG